AAGAAACAATAAGGAGGAAATAACCATTGAAACAGAAGAAAAATGAAAAATCTTAAGATAGTACTTTTCACAAGTCTAGACAAACACATTTGAAAACCTGATTAGATAGACAATTTCCTAGGAAAATATTATTTACTAAAATCGACCTTAGTAAACATAAAAAATTTAAACAAATTAAAAAGTCACTCCTCGAAAAGTCACAAGGCCCAGAAGGACTCAGAGGAGAATCTACCAAACCTTCAAAGCTATTTAAAATGTTCCAGAGCATGGAAAAAGGAAACTCCTACATTATTTTTAAATAGCCACATGCATTTAAAGAAACCAAGAAGACTGGCCCTGTGGCTGAGTGGTTAAGTTCGCACGCTCTGCTTCAGCGGCTCGGGGTTTCACCAGTTTGGATCCTGGGTGTTCATCAAGCCACGCTGAGGCGCCATCCCACACAGCACACACAGCACAGCCATAACGACCTACAACTAGAATACTCAGTTGTGTGCTGTGGGGGCTTCGGGGAGAAGAAGAAGAAGAAGATTGGCAACAGATGTTAGCTTAGGTGCCAATCTTAAAAAAAAAAAAAGGAATTTAAAAAAAGAAAGAAAGAAAGAAACCAAGAGGAAAAAGCAGTCTTTGACACTCATATATTTACCATTTCCAATGCTCTTCATTCTTTCATGAAGATTCAATTTCTACCTGGTTCAGGCAAGAAAAGACGAGAGAAGTGAAAAGGAGAAGAGTGACACCTATAATCAGAAAGCAAAGCTTTCCCGGACATCCTCAGCAGAGTCTTGCTTATGTCTCACTGGCGAAAAAACTCTGGTCATTTTTAGCTGGGCAAATTGCTTTCCCAAACAAATTCAGGGCTCTGCTAGTAAAGAAGAAAAGAAGAATGGCCGTTGGGTAGAAAGAAAGCAGTGATTGCCACCATCCACACTTTTGGCTATCCATCCTGCCACAGGCAGAACATACACTCTCTCTACTCGGGACCGTTTCAAAGTCTCATCCAGATGCTGCATCCACCTCAAAGCCTGAATATAGGGGCTGGCCCCGTGGCGGGGTGGTTAAGTTCACGAGCTCCAGCTTCAGTGGCCCAGGGTTTCGCCTGTTCGGATCCTGGGTGTGGACATGGCACCACTCATCAGGCCATACTGAGGTGGCATCACATGCCACAACTAGAAGGACCTGCAACTAGCATATACAACTATGTACTGGGGGGCTTTGGGGAGAAGAAAAAAAAAAAAAGATTGGCAACAGATGATAGCTCAGATGCCATTCTTAAAAAAAAAAAAAAAAGCCAGAATATCTAGCCCAAACGCAGTTTTCTCCATTTAGTCCTGATGTGAGTCCTTATAGTCCAGTAGCCTATAAACTAAAAGATGAGTTATCTTCCCTCAACATATAGTATTTATAATAGTGGAGAAGGAACAAAATAAAACTCCCACACGGGAAAGGGAAGAATGGGAAGCACGTCAAAGTATAACGAACATCAGATCTACAGCAAATACCAGATTCTGCTAGACAGCAGCAGCTAGGACTCCCTCCCCGACAGGAATTCCTTCCTCCGCTGACCTCCTCTCGGGAAGGAACTCTCTTTCCTATTGTGCTCCATGGTTCAAGTTCCATCTTCTTTTAACATGACTTCTTGTTCATTATCCTCTTTAGCCATATCTGAAGTGAACTTTGGGGAGGATGCCCTTTCTGTTGGTGTGCTCAGGGGCCTGGGGTAGAAAAATGATAAGCTTTGGCTGGCCAGGTTCTTAAATTTTCATTTTGGTGATGTGATTCCCCCAAAAATGTTATAGGCTTCCAGTCTATTTGCTTCTTCTTCAGTCTTATGTGTGAGTAACCACAGCCAAAGCTCCTATACGGCCTGTCTTAAAACCTGAAAATCCTCCTCTATTACCTATTGGTCTCTGTGCTCTGCCCATCCCTATAGCCTTCAACTTAATGTTTACTGACTTGAGACAATTGGAAACAAAAAGCTCTGGTGGATAAAGAACACTTTGCAGACCTTACTTCCTCTGTTAATGGTGATTCTTTTTTTTCTCCCCAAAGCCCCAGTAAATAGTTGTATATGCTAGTTGTACGTCATTCTAGTTCTTCTGTGTGGGATGCCACCACAGCATGGCTTGATGAGTGGTGTGTAGGTCTGCGCCCAGGATCCGAACCCACAAATCCTGGGCCACCAAAGTGGAGCATGCAAACTTAACCACTCAGCCACAGGTTGGCCCCTAATGGTGATTCTTAAAGGAAGAACTCAAGAAAGACCCAGGACAACAGTCTTTTCTTCTTCTAGCTATTGCTTGACAGCCACCACTCCTATTTGGAGAACAGAAGCAAGGATCTTTTTCAGCCCTGCAAGTCTCCAGGTGATGAGATGCTCATTCAAAGGAGTTTTGCAGGCCCCAGGGAGAGTGTTTTCCTTAGTGAAGTGGTACTTCCTTCCCTTTTTTCTTTAGCCTGGATAACTTTAGTTCATCAGTCTCCTTCAGGACTTTTTGAAGTGGAGAGAAGTCACTAGCATGTGCCATTCTGAATTACTCTAACACTTCCCCTAACACTACAGACTTGGTTGGCATGTGCGGTGTCTCCCACAGAACAGCAGTGGACCAAACGTTTCACCACTGCATGACAAGGTTATCGGCATTCCAGTCTGCAAAGTCTGTACCCTCACGGCCCCAAACTCCATCTCCACCACTAAACAAAGTCCATGTTTCAGCTTCTATTACTTGCAGCCTCCCACGTTAGTGTACTGAGTTCTCTATCTGGTAGGATTGCATTTTGCTACATTTAACAGAAACCTAACAAAGTGACTAAACCAATAAGAGGTTTACTTTTCTCATGTTATGAGGAGTCTGGGATAGGCAGTCCGGGATTCATGCAGCTGATCAAGGAACCCAGCTCCTTCTGTCTTCTTTGTCCATCCCTAGTGTGTGTCTTTTGGCCTCGTGATCACAAGTTGGCTGTCACTCTTCTAGGTATGGTGTCTGCTTTGCAGGCAGGAAGAAGGGAGTGAGGGAAGGCAGAATGCACGCGCCAGTTGAGTCTGCACTCTTCTTTTTTTTAAATGAGGAAATCAATCACTTTCCCAGATGCACCACCCAGTGACTTTCACTTGTGCCTTATTGGCCACATTGCCACCCTTAGCTCCAGGGGAGTATGGGGAGATGAATATTTTTAAAATATCAATAAAATTGAGGTTCCTTAAGTAAGGAAGAAGAGGAGAACAGCTATTGGATAGTCAACTAGGTCTGCCAGACCAAAGCAAATTGTTTTGCACATGAGAAGGAATTTCTTGGCTCAAAGAGCTGAAAAGTCCAGAGGTTGTGCTTGCTTGACTCAACAGCTTACTAAAATCACCAGGAATCAGTTTCTCTTCAGCTCTTCACTCTGCCTTTCTCTGTGTCAGAATAATCTGAAGCTGACTCCTCTTGTGGTCCTCAGATGGCTCCTAGGGCTACAAGCTTTCTCATTCGTGCCTAGTAGGAAATACAGAGTATCAGGACGCCAGCGCTTGTGGCTAACATGCTTAACTCATCACTGGGCTCAGACGATGGAATGTGCTGATTGACTTGGCCTAGGTGGTCAGCTCCAAACCGAGATCTAGGATGGAACTATCCCAGGAAAACCATGGATCCCCAGATGGAAAGTATGGTCTGTTGAAAAGGGGCCAGGGACCTCTGGAGGGTGAGGTGGGGAAATGGACGATAGGAAGACAACCAACAAATGTCCTCCAGGACATCTGAAGAAAGAAAGAGTCAATCAGAGAGAGGATTAGTTAGCACTGGAAACACTGACAAAAGGACAGCCTCTGAAGTGACATTGACAGTGTTCCTCGGAGCACTGACTGGGGAGAGGGAGGCCAGGCTCGAGATCACACCCGTCCAGTTCCAGTGGCAGATCCATCTTCACTATGAGGGTCTTGGAAGCCCACTCCTGTTATTCCCAATGCTCCTCTCTCATTCTGGTGCTGATTCCAGCTCACCATGCAGCCTTCTGATTATATTTGACATCCCAATGTGTTTTCTTATAGGGAGAGAGTGTCCTAATCAGAGACTGGAATTCTTGGTCATCTGGTTCATAGTGTAAATTAATAAATCAGCATTCTGATTTTTACATTAATTTCTGACTCGTGTCTTGCAAAAGCTCTTTTCTGAGGCTGCATGGCTGAGAACCAGACCTTGAAGCCCTGGTGTTTCCAAGACCTCTAGCAACCTCTGAAGCTAAGAGTAACCAGCAAACGGGTTTCCCTTGAAGACTCCCACATTGCCATGTGTCCAACCCATCACCTACTTCTTAGATATTGATTTGAGGCCTCAGAGTTCAGGCTCTTATGCTGGAACCCCACTGCGTCATTCTTGATGTTGATATGGCTGGGTCTGAGCTGATGCAAAATTCTTTTTTACCTTCAGGATCTGTTGCTGTGAGCCTCATGACCTGCCTAGCTGCCCTTCTGATCTTACAGTAGAAGAGTCTATAAGGCACAAATTTGAATCTTACATGAACAGACACTTCACAAAAGAGGATATTCAAATGTTTGTGTGAAAATGTAGTCATGCTCAGAAGTCATAAGGGATATCTACATTAAAGCCGAAATAAGATACTACTATATACCAAGCAGAATGGCTAAAATTAAAAAGACTGACAATACCAAGTGTTGACAAAGAGGTAGAGAAACCAGGAGTCTTATATATTTCCGCTTGGAGTGTAAACTGGTACAGCTACTTGGGAAGTCTTTTTGGCAATATGTACCAAAGCTGAACATACATTTACCCTATATCTCAATAATTCTACTCCCAGCTATGTATACAACAGAAATGCATTCATATGCTCAACAAAAGACACGTGCAAGAATATTCATTGCAGCATCACTCATAATAGCTCTAAATAGGAAATAACCCAAATGTACATCAACAGCAGAATTAATAAATGCATTCTGTTATATCCATACCTTGGTATATTGTAAAGCAATGAAAACGAAGAAACTACTGCTATCCACAACAACCTGGAAGAATCTCCTTAGCATAATGTTGAATGAAAGAAGCCAGACACAAAAGACTATATGTGGCATCATTCCATTTAGAAGTTCAAGAGCAGGTAAAAACGAATCCATGATGCTAGAAGTCAAGATAATAGGTACCTTTGGAGGAGGAGGTGGGTAATGACCGGGAAGGGGCATGAGAGGTGCTGCAAAGGTGTTGTTAATATTCTTGTTCTCGATCTGGGCAGTGATTAAACAGATGTGTTCACTTTGTGAAAATTCATCAAGTTGTACAGTTATAACTCGTATACTTTTCTTGGCTGGGCTTGCTCATATGTCTGTAGGTTGTCTGACAGGCAGAGAACCTAGGCTGGCTTAGGCGGGAGCAATTCAGAAGACTCAGCTCAGTAGCATGTGTCTGTCATCCTCCAGCAGGCCAGTCCAGGCCTGATCTCATGGTGATGGCAGAAGTGCAAAGCGGTAGCTCCCAAAGCTCAAGTCCATTTCAAGCCTCTGCTTCCACCATATCTGCTAACATTCCATTGGCCAAAGCAAGTCACATGGCCAAGCTAGACTCAAGGGGCGGGGCAGGTTACTCCACTCACGGAGGATGGGCACTGAAAAGTTAGACAATGGCATGGATACAGGGAGGGTGAGGACTTGGGCCACCAACACAATCTACCACTGTGTGGGAGAAAGAAAATGAAGTTAATGACAATATAGGGAAACACATACAATAATTGAGAGAAGCACAGGGTGCTTTAGTGGCACAGAAAAGGGTAAATTTCATATTTTATATCTAAAATTATTCTTGGAGGGGCCGGCCCCCTGGCATAGTGGTTAAGCCCCACCTGCTCTGCTTAGGTGCTGGGATTGTTGTTCAGATCCCAGGCATGGACCTACCCTATTTGTCAAGCCATGCTGTGATGGTGTCCCATACACAAAATAGAGGAAGACTGGCACAGATGTTAGCCCAGAGCAAATCTTCCCCACCAAAAAAAAAAAAAAAAAATTCATGGAATAATTAATGCACAGACACGTCCCCTCCCAGACTATGAACTTCTTGTGTGTACTTCATTTTACATTTCCACAGCTCCTGGCATAATGTCTTGCATATTTATTAAATTGACTCCGCCTCCTTCTGCTGGGACCAGCCAGCAGTTGCTGGCTCAGTCTAGGCTGCTCGCCACTGTCACTGCTGGGCTGCGGGATAACACTGTCTTCGCCAGGATGCGTCTCACTCAGAGCCCAGCTCCGCTATATCCCAGCCCGACGGCTTGATTGGAGCTCCTGCCGTGGCTGCTGCTGCACCTCTGGGCTGCCATCACCACTGAGGCCACCTGAGAAGCGACCCCGCATCTCTGCTGTCTGGAAACGTAGGTGGCGCTGTGTGGCAGGCAGAGCGTGGCTCTATGTCCCAGGCTGTCCCCGCGGGGAGCGTGTGGGTCTGGAGATATGTGAGAGTGTATGTGTGAGCTGGCATGGTGGAGAGGGCTGGAACGCTGAGGCGAGTGAGTGGTGGGGCCAGAACCAGGCTAAGTGGCTCCTAGTTTGCCTTCAGTCCAGAGCCGCACGGCAGGGGGCTGACTTCTCCTCCAGGAGCATGCCCTCCAACTGGTACAGGGAAGTGCCAGGTGAGCTGGAGGAGGGGTAATGCAGGCCCCCTCAGGAGCCTGCAATAGCCTAGAGATTTGCTTTACTCAGCAGCCATGTGTAGCGCTGGCAGAGGGCATTCCTCGGGAACTCTCAGTTAGAACCAAAGGGAGTTGAAAATATGAATTTGGAGAGTATGTGAGCCAAGATTCTGGAGCTACGCCTGTGTCTTTCTGTTCTTCCTCTGGAAATCTGCTCTCCCTCCTCCGGGTGGCTTCCTCTTTGAAGGGCTCTCTGATGATGAGGACGACTTTCATCATACCAGAAACCAACCCTGCTGGACCTTCTTATCTTGGAACTTCCAGCCCCTAGAATGTGAGAAATGAATTTCTTTTGTTTAAGCCACTCAGTCTGTGGTATTTTTTTTATGGCAGCATGAGCAGAATAATATACTAGGTGACAAGCTATTTCCACGAACTCCAAAATACAAGTTGCTGAGGGCAAACTATTGGCAACCACAGGACTTGCATGGTATCAGCATCTATGCAGAAAGAAGCAGAGGGAAATAATGAGGCATCTAACAGTTCTCAGAATAGGAATTCTTATAAATAGAGAAATTTACTGGAAAGCTTGACCATTTTGAGAACGGCAGCCGAAACTGGGAGGTTTTTTTGCCCACTGCAATAGCGGCTAAGTGCAAGGGGTCCGTTTCAAGGTCTGAAGGGACTGGAGCAGTCTAGTCAGTATGAACTCTAATACTAACCTGTTGGGGCTTCTTTCTTGCATGGTAGGGCCTCACACTGTGAAAAGGAGAAGGCTGTGGGGAAGAGATGCAAATTCAGAGAGGCAGGAAGGCAACGGTGAGGATGTGGAGGGCTTTTAAAAAAACTACAGAAACCAACTCAGATTCACTTTACAGGCCAGGTGGAGCCAGTGAAAGCTCCTGAGCTAGAGAGCAGAGCGAACAGGCCTCTAGCTGGGGAAGATGAGGGAAAGGAAAAAACAAGCTGTCCATAGGTCCTGTTCCTATTCCCCTCATTGTCTACCAGGGCCACATAGGGTAGCAGAAACCACACAGGTTAGTTCAGCTCAAACCAGATCTAGCACCAGGGCCAGCAAAAGTTAACCCATTCTACTGCTAGGGAGCTTCTCCCTTGGGGGCCCAGCCTCCATCCTCTGGCTCTCTCTCCATACCTGGGTGCCAGGGGTTGGCGTGTGAGAGCTGCTCTCCGGAGTGCTGGCCAGGGCCAAGGCGGTGGCCAGCTCACTCTGGGTGATGGGCCGGGGTCCAGCAGCTCCACTGTAGCCCAGGGAGGCTGGGCGGGAGCTGGGTGTGCTGCTAGAGGGCGTGGACCTGGCACTCTGGAGATAGGAGGCACCAGAATCAGGGAAGCGGCACTGTGACACTCCCATGTGAACCCCACCCCACTCCAGGAACCGTTCTTGGGGAAGACTCCCCAAGCTGCCAGGTTCAGAGAGGAACAGTATGACAGAGACTTGGCCACCAAATGGCCTATGCCAACCTCCCAGCTTGGGCGTGCCAGGTCCCAGGGAGGGGCCCATCTTCAGCACCATCTCCCGCAAAGGGCAGGCAGCCAGGCCACTTACAGGGTGAAAGACGTCCTCATCATCAGAGAGCCCTTCAAAGAGGAAGCCACCTGGAGGAGGGAGAACAGATTTCCGGAGGAAGAACAGAAAGGCACAGGTGTAGCTCCAGAATCTCAGCTCACATACTCTCCAAATTCATATTTTCCTCTCTCCTTGACTCTGAGTTCGAAAGGAACACCCCCTGCCAGCGCTACACATGGCTGCTGAGTAAAGTAAATCCCTGGGCCATTGCAGGTTCCTGAGGGGACCTGCATTACCTCTCCTGGGGCTCACCTGATACTTCCCTGTACCAGTTGGAGGGCATGCTCCTGGAGGAGAAGTCAGTCCCCGCCGTGCGGCTCCGGGCTGCGGGCGGACCCAGACCCGCAAGCTCCCCGCGGGGACAGCCTGGGACATAGAGCCACGCTCTGCCCGCCGCGCAGCGCCAGCTATCTTTCCAGACAGCGGAGATGCGGGGGCCGCTCCTCGGGTGGCCTCAGTGGTGGTGGCAGCACAGAGCAGCAGCAGTAGCCACAGCAGGAGCTCCAACCGAGCCACCGGGCCGGGACGCAGCAGAGCGAGGCTCTGAGTGAGATGCATAAGGAGAAAGGGCCCTGCACAGAAGCCCCGGCCCTGGAGAACCGAGAGCGGCTCTGAGCCGAGACAGGGGCCCGCTCCCTTCCCCTGCGCCCCGGCGCTGCGGCTCCCGGCTGCGCGCGGACTTGGAGCGACTTAGCCGGGGCTCCGGGCCCCGCCGCTCGCTCGGCGCCGCGCTGCAGCCCGCTCCCGCGTGCCAGCTCACACAGACACACTCACCCACACCCGCACGCTCCCCGCGGGGACAGCCCGAGACCCGCAGAGCCGCGCTCACGCACTCCCTCCGGTGCCGCACACTCCGCACCCGCCCCGCACGGCGTCCGATCCCGCGCGCCGCCGGCCGCGCGGCGCCACCTACCTTTCCAGACAGCCGAGATGCGGGGTCCGCTCCTCGGGTGGCCTTGGGTGGTGGCGGCCGTCCAGACCAGTAGCAGCAGCAGCCGCAGCGGGAACCCGGACCGAGCTAGCGGACCGGGGACGCGGGCGCGCGGGGCGCCGAGGGCGGCGCATCGGGGCGGAGGCGGTGTCATCCCGCGGCCCGGGAGCGACAGCGGAGAGCAGCCTAGACTGAGCCAGCGCCCGACCGCAGGCTGAGCCCAGCGCGAGGAGGCGGAGTCAAACGCCTGACCCCACCCCGCCCCTCCCCCGCCCCGACAGCCCTGCTAGCCTCCCGGCTGCGCAAAGGGGCGCGAAGTGCCTGCTGCCCCAGGAACCTTCGCCGTCCCCTCCCCGGCACTTCCGCGGGGAGAACCCGGGCGGGCGGGGACAGGACAGACTTGTGGTTCCCTCTCAGGGCCTCAGATCCACTCCTCCAAGCCCATGAAAGGATTGGCCTACAAGTCGGGGAGGATCTCTCCGAGGGCACAGAAAAGCCTGATACCAGAAAACCTCGAATGGCCCGCAAAGTGGTTTAGAACAAGTTCTGTGGTTCTCAGAAGATGGGCTGACCTGAGTGGACACTACTCCCTCTGAGCCTACAAGCAGGAGCAAGATGCTATCCCTTAAGGAGGAGGGCGGAGGGTCGACCATCTGTGAGGAGCACTAAGCACCCCATCACTGTTCTACTGTGAGAACACTGGGGATTTTCATCTTGGCCTGGCTCCCTCCCCTCCCTTCTCCCTTCTCCCCCTTCCCCGGCTGCCTCCCCCCAGCCAGCTGGTGTATGCTCAGAAAATCCAAACTCATTAAGAAGGCCCCTTTATTATGTTGAGGTAGTTTCCTTCTATTTCTAGTCTGTTGAGTGTTTTTATCTTGAGTGTCAGATTTTATCAATGCATTTTCTATATCGAGATGCTCATGTGGTTTTTTTCTTTCATTTTGTTGATGTGGTGTATTACTGTATTGATCATTTTTCATATGTTGAACCATCCTTGTATTCCAGTAATAAATCCCACTTGGTCATGGTGTATAATTCTTTTAATGTGCTGCTGAAATTAGTTTGCTAGGATTTTGTTGAGAATTTTTGCATCAGCGTGGATAAGGGATTTTGGCCTGTAATTTTTTCGTGAAGCACCTTTGTCTGACTTTGGTATCAGGGTAATGCTGCCCTTGTAAAATGAGTTAGTAAGTGTTTCCTCCTCTTCAGTTTTTTGGAAAAGTTTGAGAAGGATTGGTCTTAGTTCTTTTTAAATGTTTGGGAGATTTCACCAGTGAAGCCATTAGATCCAGGGCTTTTCTTCATTGGGAGATTTTTGATTACTGATTCAATCTCCTTACTAGTTATAGGTCTGTTCAGATTTTCTATTTTATTGTCATTTAGTCTTGGTAGGTTTTGTGTTTCTAGGAATTTGTCCATCCCTACCAGGTTATCCAGTTAGTTGCTGTACGATTGTTCATAGTACTCTCTTATAATTCTTTTTATTTCTCTAGAACTGGTAGTAATGTCCCCACTTTCATTTCTCATTTTAGTAATTTGAGTCTTCTCCCTTTTTTGTTAGTTCATCTAGCTAAAGGTTTGCCAATTTTGCTGATCTTTTCAAAGAACCAACTTTTGGTTACATTGATTTTCCTTATTGTTTTTCTCTTCTCTATTTCATTTATCTCTGCTGTAATTTTTATTATTTCCTTCCTTCTGCTAGCTTTGACTTTAGTTTGTTCTTCATTTACTAGTTCCTTAAGTTGTAAAGTTAGGTTTTTGATTTGAGAACTTTCTTGATTTTTAACATAAGGATTAGGCAGCCCTGTTGGTCTAGTGGTTAAGATTCGGTGCTCTCATCACCTCAGCCAATGTTCTTTTCCCAGTCAGGGAACCACACCATGCATCTGTTGGTTGTCATACTGTGGTGGCTGCGTGTTGCTGTGATGCTGAAAGCTACGTCACTGGTATTTCAAATACCGGCAGGGTCACCAATGGTGGACTGGTTTCAGCAGAGCTTCCAGATTAAGACAGACTAAGAAAGTTGGGGCCACCCACTTCCGAAAAAATTGGCCATGAAAACCATATGAACAGCAGCAGAGCATTGTCTGTTCTGGTGCTGGAAGGTGAGAGGATGGCGCAAAAAAGACCAGGCAGGCTTCTGCTTTGCTGTACACAGGGTCATTAGGAGTCAGCATCAACTCAATTGCACTGACAAGCAATGTGAGGATTTATAGCCATAAATTTCCCCCTTGGCATCACTTTCGCTGCATTCCATAAATTTTGGTATTTCTGTTTTTGTTTCATTTGTTTCCAAGTATTTTCTAATTTCTGTTGTGATTTCTTCTTTGATCCATTTGTTGTTTAAAAGGATGTTCTTTAGTTTCCATAATTTTGTGTATTTTCCATTTTTCTTTATGTTATTGATTTCAAACTTCATCTTGTTGTGGTTAGAGAAGATACTCTGTATGATAATGTATCATTTAAAATCTATTGAGGGGCTGGCTGCGTGGCTGAGTGGTTAAGTTCGCGTGCTCCGTTGTGGTGGCCCAGGGTTTGGATCCTGGGCGCGGACATGGCACCGCTTGTCAGGCCATGTTGAGGCAGCGTCCCACATCCCACAACTAGAAAGACCTGCAACTAAGATATACAACTATGTGTGGGGGGTTTGGGAAGATAAAGCAGAAAAAAAAAAAAAAGAAGATTGGCAACAGTTGTTAGCTCAGGTGCCAAGCTTTAAAAAAAAAAAAAATCTATTGAGAATCTGTGGCCTAATGTACTTTCTATACTGGAAAATGTCACATGTGCACTTGAAAAAAATGTGTCTGCTGCTGTTGTTGGGTGGAGCCTTCTGTATATGTCTGTTAGATCTAGTTGGTTTATTGTGCTGTTTTCATCCTCTATTTCCTTATCTTTTGTCTGAATGTTCTATCCATTATTGAGAGTCAGGCATTGACGTCTCCAACTATTACCATAGAACTATTTCTCCCTTTGATTTTGTCAATTTGTGTCATATATTTTTGATGGTCTATCATTAGGTACATAAATGTTTACAATGATAATTGTTGTATTTTGCTGTGTTGACCTCTTTATTAATATTTAATGCCCTTCTTTGTCTTTTGTAAACTTTTTTGATTTAAAGTCTATTTTGTCTGATATTAGTATAATCATCTCTGCTCTCTATTGATTACTATTTGTATGAAATATATTTTTCCATCCTGTCACTTTCAATCTATTTGTGTCTTTGGATCTAAACTAAATCTCTTATAGGCAGTATATTGTTGGGTCATGTGGCTTTTTTTTTTTTGCAGAGGAAGATTCACTCTGAGCTAATATCTGTTGCCAATCTTCCTCTTTTTGCTTGAGGAAGATTTGCCCTGAGCCAACATCCATGCTAATCTTCCTCTGTTTTGTATGTGGGTTGCCGCCACAGCATGGCTGACAAGTGATGTAGGTCTGTGCCTGGGATCTGAATGCATGAACTCAGGCTGCTGAAGCAGAATGCCCAAACCTAACCACCAGGCCACAGGGCTGGCCCCTTGTGTAGTTTTTTACAAAATTATTTTACTGATATCATATTGGTTTATAACATTGTGTATTTTCAAGTGTACATTATATATCAGTTTCTGTATAGACTGCATCTTGCTCACCCCCAATAGTCTACTTATTATCCATGACCATACAAATGTGCCCCTTTAGCCCTTTTGCACGCCCCTCACCCACTCACTTCCCCTCTGGTAACCACTAATCTGTTCTCCTTGTCCATGTGTTTGTTTATCTTCCACATATGAATGAAATCATACAGTGTTTGTCTTTCTCTGTCTGGCTTCTTTTGCTTAATATAATACCCTCAAAGTCCATTCATGTTGTTGCAAATGGGATGATTCTGTCTTTTTTTATGGCTAAGTGGTATTCCAGTGTATATATACACAATTTATCCAATTGTGAGTTGATGAGCTCTGGGGTTGCTTCCACAACTCAGCTATTATGAATAATGCTGCAATGTACATGTGGATGCATAAATCTCTTTGTATTGTTGATTTCATGTTCTTTGGATAAATAGCCAGTAGTGGGCTAGCTGGATTGTATGGTATTTCTATTTTTAATTTTTTGAGAAATCTCAATACTGTCTTCCATTTTGTCTGTACTGCTTTCCCACCAGCAGTGTACGAAGGTTCCCTTTTCTCCACATCCTCTCCAATATTTCTTATTTTTGTCTTGGTAATTACAGCCATTCTGACAAGTGTAAGGTGATATCTCATTGTAGTTTTGATTTGCATTTCCCTAATAATTAGCGATGTTGAACATCTTTTCATGTGCCTGTTGGCCATCTGTATATCTTCTTTGGAAACATGTTTGTTCATATCCTCTGCCTATTTTTTTTTTTTTAGAACCTGTTCACTCCATCTGTACTATAGAATATATCACTCATCTGCTCTCCCCAGAGGAAGGGAAATCAAACCACAGAGATCAAAGGCTAGAAATTCCAAACACTGTGGTGTTAGTCAAAATGATTTTAGACTCTCTCCAATAATTTCTGGACTTGGGTTAAAAACAAAAAACAACAGTCTGGGCAGTCATTATGATAGTTGATGACTTAGATTATCAATCTCAAGATTAGAATTTATCCTGACATTTTGAAAAGTAAGTACTTTTTTTTATTTCTTCTAAAAAAAAAGGAGAGGGGAAAGAAACTAAGATTTATTATGTACTTTACAGACATTAACTCATTTTATATTACATCAACCTGTAAAAAAGAAATTATATCCATATTACAAATGAGGAAACTGAGGCTTGAGTTTAAGCAATTTGCCTTAATATCACAAATATAATTAATTACCAAGTCAGAATTTGAATTCAAATCTCTTTTGTTCATTATCAAAATCATAATCTTCCCACCACATCATGCATCCTCCGTGTTATTGGAGAAAATCACATCAATACCACTTGAGTCCTGAGATATTCTGATTCTTTATACAGACATCAGTAGCAGATCTCTCAATAGCATCAACTGATGATACTCTAAAGCAATATAAACTGAAAACATTTATTACTGGAAGATCCAACATTTTACTTATAGGAACAACCATGCACAACCATGAGAAGTACTAAAGAAGGAAAACTGAACATGTACATTAAAATATTTTCAATGTATCCAAGGCCTCAAATAGGAGATACTTAAAATATTACTTGGAGAAGAAACAAAAATCGTGA